AAGCAACTCTTCCCTGTGAAGATAAGAGTGACATCACTACCTTGTTCCAAATGATTGAACGCATCATTGAAGACGCTATTGAGATACAGAAAAATTAGAAAGAAGACAAAAAAGAATAACTTAGAGAATTCTGTGGGTTCTTTGTTTTTATTGAATATTGAATTTTTTGCATTGAATCCCGATACAAAATTTCATTCCTGCAATCATATTTCATTCTAAGGTTATGGCAGTACTTTAATTTTTTATTATCATATATAAGTTGCAGTAAGTTATTTTGTTTTAAATTAATGCTGTTTTACGTAATAAGGAAGAAATTCAAAAAAAAAAACTACATAAATAGAAAAATAAAACGTTATCTTTAAGGATTGATTTCTCGAAAAAGAAGGATTGAAGAGGCGCATAAAAATACTAAAGATAAATTCAATTCAAAATATATGTAACGGAAGAAAAAAATTGCAAAAATAGAAAAAAAAATCGACGATATCTTTATTATCGTAAGTCAGTCCCATTGTAATAGATAACAGAGATAGATAAAATGAAAACAATCGATTGTAAGCTAAGATAAGGAAAAGTATCGACATATTTTAAACTTTTACAATTGATCATTACTAAATTTAACATATCCTTATTGAATTTATAGAAACATAATGCATCAATGTTTTTTTTTTTAATTTGAATGATTCTTTTACTTAATAAGCAAACATTTTTTAGGCAGACAAAATATACCCAGAACTTTGACATTTAACATAAAATGATTTATATGTCTACATAAACACAGAATCTTGAGCTTCTCTTCGCGTTAAGTGACGCATATTCCATTTATGTGATAATAAATGACAATGTATTATATATTCATAATTATTCAAATGAAAAAAGTGCAAAATATTTGGTGAATTTTTCTTTTGCTATGAACATCATGTCATACAATACATAAAAGGCAACAAAACGGTACTATTTGAATTAATACATTCTTAATAAAGGAGAATAAACCATATATACGTAACTATGAATTAAGAATACGGGGTAAAGAGAAATAATTCTGAATTGAAAAGACTACCTAAATACTAGTTTATTATTGATGTTTTAATGACAAAACATAAAAATAATATTCAAATCAACATTCATATTTAACGTTTTAACATACTTTCTAACAAACAGCCGTTTCCAAAAAAAGATAATAATAATAAAATAAAAATGATGAGATATATTTGCAAATAAAAAATGGACATGGATGTAGCAAAACAAACTTTTTAAAATTACATCATATAAATGATATATTAAAGTTGGAATTCCCAAGACTAGAGTGACTTCAATTCTTGATTATATGATGACATTATTGTGAGAAAAATATAATCTTTTGGTTAGCGAAATAAAAGCAATGATATGTGTCGATCAGATAATATGCTACTAAAGGTTTTCTATTATAGAAGAAAAAATAAAATCTTATCAAAATTGATGAATGTTTTTTTTTCACATCTAATATCGGTCATGAGGAATTGTGTACATGCTTGGCTCATATTGCCATATTTACTACATATACATCAGTGGTGTAACGGTCAGTGGTGTGACAAACAAATATCGTTACACCATTGATACACATATATACATATAACATTATGCAGTAAAAAATCAAAATATTCTAAACAAGTTTGCAATACTATAGCTAAATTATCTTTCAGTAATTGGAATTTTTTTTTTACATGTTTTATCTCTAATGTATTTGTTTTTACAATAAATATTTTTTCACTAAAATGGATCAGCTTACTATGAGAAAAACAACAGAGTATACATGCGCAAACAAAATAATTTTTGAAAACTGAATTAATTTTTCAAAAGATACTTTATTTATTTTCACAATGTTTATGAAGATAACGAACAATATTCAAAATCAAGTCCTTAAAACAATACAAAATTGGGAGCAGAGCAAACACTGACCTCAAAAACATCAAAGATGGGATCAGGTGCCTTGGAGGAGTGTGCATCTCCTGTCGACCGGTCACACATGCCTTATCATAACTGGGAAATAACGGAATTTCAGTTGGACTAACAATTACTATGAAATTTACGTATGAATAATTTCAAAAACATGGTAAAATATTGACAGGCAAGTTGATGAAACAAGAACATCAACAGTCTCGTTTAAAGTCATCATTTCGTAAGTTTTGTGGTCGTACGATACAATGACCTTGTCAGCAAATAAGAGAAAAAGAATTTAACTTTCATAAGGATCGACATATTTTAAAATTTTATTGTTGATTATAGCTATCTTATTGTCATTACATTTATAGAAATATTATGCATATGAACGTGCATACTTCAATTACTTGATTATGAATTACAATTTATAACAAAAATGTAAAAAAAAAAAATCCTCCATGGCACCTGATTCCACCTCTGATGTATCTGGGGTCCGTGTTTGTGTTTGTGTTTGCTCTGCTCCAAATTTGTATTTGGGCTTTGATATTGAATACTGTTCGTCGTCTCTATATCCGCATCTCCCCTATTACAACCAAATGATATTAAATGAGTCCTTCACAAATTATTTGCTTCATAATATTTAAAGATCTTAAACAAATTATGTTTGTTTCCTGTAACCCGACCGACCCATGAAATTACATATCTATACTTCGTGTTTGCTTGCAGATGGAAACTCTTTTGAATATATTGCACTTATTTTGAATCTATTTTCAGTTACAGATAGTGGCGTTTTTTATTTGTTCATTTATTTCATATTAAGGTTTAATTACAGTTGATACGTCTTTCTGGGATTCTGGATCGGGATAGACCAAACAGAAACTATCACCAAGATCACAAACGTCCAAATTTCAACGTCCATTTTGTTCAGTGATGGTTAAATTTTTGTACGTCTGGTTTTATTCCTATCTTAATGATCTAAGCTTCCTGTATAATAATGGAATGCAATATATACGTTTTCTATTAAACATAGCTATGATACACGTACGCAATTATGTATCATTGAGTGTTTGGCACTTAGAAACTTTCATTTAATTTTCAGAATAAATATTGCATCAGATAAGAATAGACGATGAAAAAGATATTGATGATATTGTGTTGTATTTATTGAAATAAAATATATGGAGAAAAGGAATATAGCTAGAAGATACAATCCCCGTAAGCAGGTGACGAAGGTACAATATATATTGCTGCATAAGTAATTAATTTGAAAACATCATATCAACAGTTATTTTGTTTATTTATATGTGATATTTACAGTTATATCCACCTGCAAACTTTATTAAATAAATATGTACAGGGGTATTCAATTTTAGGATTGCTTTTCTTTTGAGGAATTTACTTATATTAACTCCATTTTGAGAATGAATAAATCCATTCAGACTCTTGTCACGAAATCTGACAGTTACCGGATCTTTATGATGTACATACAGTATTAAGGTGAGTAACATATTTCAACAGTGTGCTCTATCTTGGGCACATTTTAATTTACCTATCTTTATTTTTTCTTGATTTAAATAATTTTCTCAAACTCAATAGGTTTACATTCATCACCATGTAATAAAAAAGATTAATTAAATTTTGACACCATTCACCACTACTTCTGATGTTTTGGAGGTCAGTGTTTACTCTGTTCCTATTTCGTTATGTTCTATGGACCACCTTTGATGTTTTGGAGGTCAATGTTTGCTCTGCTCCTATTTCGTAATGTTTAATTGACTTTTGATCTTGAGTAATGTTCGTTATCTCCATATCTTTTCATTCAACTCGATATTTGAATATTTAGAGGATATATTGTCAAATAGACATTTATTACTTCCAATTTTATATAGACTAGATTAAAATCAATGAGTTTAAAATAAAATTAACACAGAGTACTCCTCCTAAGCATCTTCTCCCATGACCATCTTTTATATAAGACAATATCCGTTCGTTTTACTGGATATAACATTATATGTTTGCAAAACAATTTCTTAATGATAACTACACAGTAATTTAAAGTTATTTCATTCAAAAATGAATTTTATTTTTTTTAAGTGCTTTACAAAAAAGAAAATAAATAAATAAATAAATGAAATCATTTCCAGATTGATAAAGTCTTAATAAATATGAGTAAGGTTTAAGTCTTAACATTAAAGTTATGACTAAACTTCAAAACAGTAAAGTTATATGTACTTTTCACAAGAAAAATGAATACTCGTTCCTAACTTTTTTATAGTTAGGTTATATGAGTAGTTTTTTTTTATTTCTCAAAAACATCATTGCTATAAACCCTATCAGGGATTAGATCCTTTGAAGATGGGTACAAGGTATGCTTATTATTTTTTTTTTTTGCAATCAATCCGGCACTTTATTTTGACAAAGAAACTTACGCTTTGTTGTTTCCGGTAAGAGACAGACATTTTGCAATATGAATAAAAGAATTTTTTTTTTCAGTTGGTTAATAATCATCATTGTTAAGAGTTGTGATGAAATTCTGTATTTTTTCAGCATCGGACCATCATTACATCGTATTTTAATTCTCATTCACGTGTCCATACACATTGTCGGTGAGTTTTGTTACAGTAGAAAGTTTTGTCGGATTATCATAGGTGTCCTGTCCTGCCCTTTTTGGATGGTCATATAAATTTATATCCTGTTTTACTGCTGTCTTTATACTACTATCATTGAGAATGTCCGTTATCGTGTTATCATGTATTAATGACTGGTCCCTGATTGTGACGTCATAAATTCCACCGCTCTGTCTCTTTGCGTAGACATAGAGATCATCGTTATGAGTTGTCTGTCTTTGTTGTCTCAAAACGTCGTATTCTTCTTGTTCTACGTTTTCATTTCTTTTAACAATTGTCAATGTGACATCATCTTTTGGCTCTTCTATGATCATATGTTTGGGATATAGAGTTATGGAATATCAATAAAATACAAGCACTTTGTGAATTTCATTTTCACAAGAAAACAGAAATAAACCGAAAGCCACAATGTCCCAATATAGGTAGGTCATCATGTACGCACTGAGTTGTCGACGTATTTTCCGGGTGTTTTCCCGAACATGACAAGGAGCACTGAGAAGGTGAGCGGTTGGCAGGCGACGCATATTCCTCAATGGCACCTGATCCCATCTCCGATGTTATGGAGGTCAGTATATTTGCTCTGCTTCTATTTTATATTATCTAATTGACTTTTGAGCTCAAATACTGTATTGCAAATTATACTGAAGTATGTATCACAGCCTTACGATACATTGTTCATTCATGCGGTTTAATCTTTACTTAAAAAATTCTATTGTAAAGTACAAGTACAGTGGACCTTCAGATATCCGGATGCTTCAGTATCCGGAAGCCTTTTCATCGGAACAGAAGTTTTAAATCTTTAAATTTTATTTTATGTTGTTTAACTGGTGATTCAGATATCCGGAAGCTTCACATATCCGGAAAAATTGATTAGGAACCAAAGCGTCCGAATAAATGAGGCTCCACTGTACTGAAGTAAGTGTTTTGCATACTAATTATAGTAAAAAAATATGAATTATAAAAAACAGGAAAAAGATAAATGGGAATACGTCTGAAAAATCAAAACTTTCTTTTTAAATCATTGATAAAACATAAAAAAAGAATCAAAGTAAATTATATTCAATTATTTCTCATTGTTTCTTACAAATTGTATAAACACTTGATAACGTAGAATAAATTAATATTTTATACCTACTTATCAAGATATCACACAATAGCATATGCATAATCTGTACTACAAATCCAGATAGCAATCACTCCTTTGAAATACGAAAAGCATACATTGAAACTGTCTACTCTTGATGTGATAAGAAACAAGACACAATATCATTTTTTTCTCACAAATGGATTACATTCTATTTTTACACGAAAAAGATATTAAATGTGTAAATCTTCTTTCATGCTCTAAAATAACGGTGAATACATTAATCTATTAAAGAGGAAACTTCCGGTTTTCTTCTTCCTGTATAATTCTTGGTCTCTGGGTCATTATCGAAAATATGCACACTTTCGCAATTTGTGTAAATTTGAACGGAAACATGTTTGGTGCAAAATAAACAGTATCATAGGGTTTTTCAAAACAAAACAATTTTCTTTGAATACATTCATTTATAATTTTATTGCTTTAAGTAATAAAAGGATACATTATTTTATAATAAGATATGAATGACATCATGTTGTCACTGGATTCTTTCAATTGACTTTAGCCTACAACAACTTAAAAAGGATATTTTCTGATTCAGATATCTAACTTCTGGGAAAAAAATAATAGAATGCGTCTTTTTAAAATGGTTCCAGCAATATCATTTTATTTTCATTTCTCTCTACAACTTTTTTTTGCCTATTTTCAGCTGAAGGTTCAGCTTCATTGATCATTTTAAACTCATATTGAGTTTAATGTACGAATTAGAAGGGGTTGGATTTTTAATTTTGGAGAAAGCGGGATAACTCTGTTAATATTTTTCGACTTCTCTGACCGGAAGCAGTGAATCCACGAGTTATTCAAATTGCCATTGCCACATTGTCATCCTCTTCTTTCTTCTTCAGGTGATATTCTATTATTTACAGTTGATTACGTCTTTTATCTGTTTGCTCTGCTCCTATTTTGCATTGCTTTATGGACTTATGTTATAACGAGACTGATGTTTATTTTAGGAACATGTTGTGACTCGATATGAGAATGCGGGCTGTGTGAATTAGTGTTATAGGCGGCATAGTGAGCAGGTAATCAGTTACTTACATGTGGATACACAGATGTTGTCCTTTTTTATAGATGCATGTGTATTTACATGTATTTATTACCTTAGGACGAATATTTCTTTAGTTATAACGAGACAGAAAATATAGATTTAATTGATAGTATTAAGTGGTTTGGAGATAAAACTTGTTTTCATTTCTCTCTACATCTTTATTTAGCCTGTTTTCAGACAAGAGTTTAATGTACAAATTAGATTTTAATTTTTAGGGAAAGCGGGATAACTCTGTTAATATTTTTTAATTACTAAGTAATTTTGACCTTAATTGTGCACCCGCATGCATCAAGCGCAATTGCTGCGTCTATTGTGCACATGCGAGTAGATGAAAACGCAACCGATCTCGTCCAGTAAATATTGAGCAGTTCACGACTTTTTTTTGCCAACTTTGGGTATATATTTTTCTTCATTTGAGCATTGAACTTTTTATTACCTTTTAATTCTTAAATGTTAGATATGTTTTTTATTAACCTGTATATTTTATCCGCATCCCTTACCCTATATAGGCTTCTATTCTCTCCCCCATCTCAAGAATAGCTTTATCAAATTTTAAGAAAAATCCGATTTGATTAGGACGATTAGAAAGGATCAGGTGGCGGATAACATGTACAGGTTGGTTAAAGAGTATTTCTCAAATCAGGAAAGGGGTTTATTGACCAATGCAGGAAAGTAGAGTAATATATCCCCAATCGTGCGCCTAAAATCGTGCTCCATAGATTCGACATCATTTGCATTCGAATAATGGAATCTCTAGCATTCATGTCTAAATAACAAACGTATATATCAATATAAAGTTAAGGTTTCTGAAGCAAGCTTAAATTTCAAACTCCTCAAAAAGAGCGCGAAATTTAATTTTTCGTATGACGTTGCTCTGTCAAGGCCTTCAGCCTAAATGTCATCAAATTAAATCATATAATCTTTTGTTCCCCCATTTATTGATTTGACGTTTAAATGCAGCATTTTCTGCACACTTTATAAACACATTGCACCTGCTAATAAAGAAAAGTGTTTGTATATGAAAATAAATCTTAACTACACACGTGTACAGAGATAATAGAATGATAGAGTTATATACTACTTCTCACCAGTCATATGACCTTTCACGGGTATCGGTTAAAATTCATGGAGTGTATAAAACATTTCCTTTGTTATTTATATACTTCATAATATTATTTGATAAATAGCAAGAAGACACTTATATAGAAACAAAACTTTTATTATGTAGAATGATTGAATGCAATTTTCTTGTTTTTAGGAAGTAAGGTTCCATGTATAAAACTATTTTTAAACATAATGCATATTGGGATTTTTCATTAAATTCATTACACAAAATGGTATTATATTTATAAATTTGTTATGTAATATAACATCAATACCAACATTTATGTCTAACAATCAAGTTTTCATCATCTATAATACAAGTATATAACTTTTCATATCATGCGTGAACAAGTATGGATATAAAGATATAAAAAGTCAGGTAGGTTTTATCATTATGAGAGTCTCTTTTATCTTTTTACTTTTAGTCACTGTAGGATACCATGGTTTGATCCAGGACCCCGGGAACCACTGACCGTTAAGGAAGGCTCGGTGACACTCATTAAACCACCAGCCTCCTCTACGGGTACTGACAGCAGCACAGTTACCGAAACTCCACCCGTCGTTATCTCTGTCTGAGGTACTGAAGTACATCCCAGACAGATCATAGTAATAGGGGTAACCAGTGTGTAACATAGAGTCCCCTGTAAAATTATCAAAGAAAAATATAACATGAACACCTATTTCAGATTAGATCATTATTATTTACTAAACATTTAAAGCTTAAAGCATCTATAGTATTCAACAATAAAAACGTTTTTGAATTACTTTAAATTGCATTGCTTTCAATTACAATAGATGAACAATGTTTTCATTTTATATTTAACGTCGTTTTTCTGTTGTCATTTGACTTCTTTTTTGACTGTATGTTGATGAGTCTCAACAGAAATAAAAATTAAAGAATGATTGACTGATTGAATGTATGTAGTTTAGCCTCCCTCTCGAGCATTATTCACTCATACGGTGACGCCATCACTTGCCGGTTGAGAACTAGAAATTTTGTTTTATAATACATGTTATACACGGCAATTGAGCAGTTTGCTATGTTTTTCGTGTCAGCATCTACTACGACATTGGACCTTGATTTATACTATCTTATCCGAAGGACCAGTCTGCACCTCCTACAGTTCGATTGGAACCTGCGAGGTAAAGATTCCTTACTTCGCGGCTCTAACCCAGCGCCAAGCGGGTGACGTCATTAAATCTTATTATTATTTCATTCATGTGAAGCCTTTTTTTAACATTGAAATGGGTAAGCCTATATACGTACATATAAAGAAGGGATATTTAAAATAATAATTTCATGAACCAATAAATTGATAAAACATTAGAAAATAACGGTTGATTTTTTTTTTGGGGGGGGGGTTCCTCTTTAAGTTAACAGTACAGGAAATAATAATAAACAATAGCTTCATGAACCAATAAATTGTTATAATATTAGAAAATAAAGGTTTGATTTTTTCTTTCTTTTTTTTTGGGGGGGGGGGTGCACTTCTTTAAGTTAACAGTACAGGAAACAATAGCTTTTCTTCCATTTTATCAACACATTAATCATAAGAATTCTTCAAATTTGTGCGACTACACGTACAAACAATTTGTGTGGTTAACTTCTTTCTTTATTGTTGTATTGCTTTTCTTAAGTCTACTATGCATATCTGCAACACAAAAGCGTGATAATTACAAAAAGTCATTGTTATCGACTGTAATTAATTACATTTCCAATGCAAGTTGTTTTTTTTAATTCAATAATCGTTTAACACCTAATATGATTTCTCTGTATGAGTTATGTATCTGACAACATTACGTACAAGTACGCATGTAGTGGTTATGACGAGGAAATGTTCAATCTTTTAGCAATTTATTACTGATTGGCTCTTATAGTATGGACTCTTGATTTTAAATATACAATGAAAAATTTACTTTCAAAATAGTGATATCCACACATCCCCCTCCATTTATTACGTAACTATAGGGCTGATTCTCAGAGAAAGAGTTGGTATTTGTCTTTCTGTCACAAGAAAAACTCTCTCTCTCTCCTTATCGGTCGTCATTCATACATTCTTTTTTCCGTTTACCTACCCAGGGTCCCGGTAGCTGGCCCGCCAAGAAAAAGTCGGTAGTTGTTGGTTTCGTCAGCAACAGAGAACTGGTTGTATAATTCATAGAGCTTTTTCCCATTAGTCAGTGTGATAGATACGAAGAGGGAGGAGTTCCTTCTTTTGGTAAGTTGATGTATAACGTCATTTCCTTAAATAAATCGTCGTGTTATATATAAAGAATTCATAAAGCAAAACATATTTATTTCAAGTTGTCATATAATTCAACATATGATTATGAAGGTATGCAGAAATTTTTAATTGTGTAGTGCATGCAGCAATGAACACACATGTTTTGAAATCAAAGTAGGGAAATTGTTATATATTGTATTTTACATAATTTGTTATAAACTTCATCTTAACTGCTACAAAAATTAAATGCTAATTTAAACTGTTAATAATCAGAAGAATTATCATCCCCTAAAACATCAAAAAATATTACACAGTTATAGAATGGGTACAATGGCAATAGCAAATTAATGGTTCCCCGAGGGAGGGGAATATTTCTGCATCTGGAATTCTAACCCTTTGGGGAGCCATAAATTTGCTATGTCTTCTGTAGTCATTTCATAACTGTATAGAGTTTACCAATCCAGTAGGAGTCGTTAGGATTCCCGAATCCCGTCTTGTAGTCCGTCCAGTTTCTGTCGAATGACACTGAACCACTCACACGTTTCTGGATAGCCTAAGGTTTTATGAAGAATAGGAGGTTATTTTTATTTATTTATTATTTTTTTTGGATAGTTTTTTTTTACTTTCACACAAATTATACAAATACAAAACAGACGTATCTGTAGACAAATATACAGGACAGTTTGAAACAAAGCAAAAACAAAAAAGTGGTATTAAAAACTAGTGTGAAAGTTTATGTAGAGAGAAAGAGAGGGAGAGAGAGAGAGAGAGAGAGCGAGAAAGTGAGAGAGAGGGAAAGATGTGGGGCACAAACTTTCTTGAATAAGTAACGGTATTTTTTTTTAAAGTATTTCAACTATTTCCTGCCAAATGTCTTTCAAATTTATCATAAACTCGAAACTTGCGTATTATATTGATCCCAACAACTATTTAAAGTAGAAAAAAAACTTCGTTATCAAATTTATGATATTATATATTTTTTTTTCTACAGTGTAATTAAAAAAATATTTATTTTGGAATTTCATTTTCTTCCTGTAAAATAAACTAGAACAACTACTTAATGTTCATTCAGCGAAACGATTTGATATCAGCTTTAAAAATCAAATATTAATAAATTGTTAAAGAAGGAGTAGCTATAATTGATGGTGGAGCTGAAGAGAGAGAGAGAGAGAGAGAGAGAGAGAGATCTTACTGTCCACCCTCCACCTTCTGTCAACATGTCACAGAAGACTCTGATCTTGCTGTTATTACCAAATGGATGTATCTTATACACACCAGATTCTGTATTACCACGAATATGGAAGTCTTTGCAATCTTTATATATGTTTAACTCTGAAAGAAAAAAGAAAAAGATATGGCCGGCTTCCTCTCAATGTCTCCATATCACAGTACACGTGCACCTTACTCTTATTACCCATGGGATCTTTGAGATAAACGCTAGAATTATTGTGACTGTGTAAATAGTAATCGCGACAATCTGTATAATGTTTTAAACCTTAATTTAAGAGAAATACATTTACAATTATGTAATTATCATATCAATTAACATCCAAACAAACTGAGAGAGAGAGAGAGAGAGAGAGAGAGAGAGAGAGAGAGAGAGAGAGATTTACCTTTCCTGACAATTCTAGCATTTTCATGGGTCTTAGTTACATCTTCTTCAAGTTTCTTAACCATACGCCTGAGGGAATCAACAGATTCTTGGATCCTCCCCTGCTGGATCACAAGATCTCGAATCTGCATCATTGTCTCTCCATTACTGGCACAACGATCTTTTGAGTAAATGTACTGGGAACTTGTACATACGATGCCGGACAAAAGGAGCGCTACCCACACCATAGCCATGGTTTAACTTCCTTGATTGTTTCGTAACGAAGCGTTTCTGGAATAAAGTGTTTCTTGAAAATATCCACAGCTTTATATATAGCCCTAAACACGGAAGATTAAAATTCAACCAATAATATGTCATTGCCTTTAACCCCTTAACGCCACTTAAATGTTGAGCTTAAATTTTTATATTCATGGAATAATTGTTAAAGTCAGATAAGCTTATTAAGCATGGATCACAGTCGTAATATCAGAGAGGAGGCTAGCCTTTACTCCACCTATTGTTTTTTAGAATAATTATTAGCTTTTCACATGTTCACACAATTCAAAATAACAAACAAATAGTGCACAATGGATTTCTTAGTACCTTTTGTTCTTGTTACAAAACTGCACAATTTTAAATGATCGCTTAAAAAGACAACCTCGTAAAAAAAGCTTTAAAGAAAAAAATCCAGTTAATCATAACACCATGGTTATTCAAAAATTTTTTTTTTCAACCAGTTTTTGTGTATGTTTATTTAATTAAAGAGAGGTTCCTGCCTCTTTCAAAAAAGTAAAAATATTGGATACGTTTAAGGGATATGGACATAACGAACAGTATTTAATCTCGAAGTCCATAAAAAAAATACAAAATAAGAGCAGAGCAAACACAGACCTCCAAAACATCAGAGGTTGGATCGGGTGCCATGGAATGGAACTGGCACCCATTTTTCACGGAATTCAAATGTCTGTTTTAGTCCAGCCTCAGTTTATCAAATTTTTCTCTGATAAAAAAGGAATTATGAGCCCCCCTCCCCCTCCACCTTGACTTAAGAATAGATTTGAATTTTTAGAAGTCTTTATTTTTGTAAGCTTCATATTTAAAGTCCAGATGTATGACATATTCTCGGTTTTTGTATTTTACTTTTTAAAGAAATGTTGGAATGTAAAACCATAAGTGTGAAAGGTTCATATATAAGATTTAATGCATTTTTTTCATTTAGAAAAAGAACATAAAACAAAACTCATTAGCGATGTATGCATTTGTTGACAGCTTTTCATCCTGACATTAGATCAATTAAAAAAATTCAACAAAAGTCGATCAAAAATTATAAGAAAGAAATCCCTGATAGAAGGATAATTATCTTAGATATTTGATTTTATATTTTACTACATTTAAAATCAATAAAAAAGTAACACAATTTATTGTATTAAAAAAAAAATGTTATAAAGACATCAAATTATTTGTGATTTATCAATTACAGTTCATCTTTCATTTAAATGTTAATCATTGCAAATATTGTTTTGAATCATTGTTTTGAAAAGGTTTTGATATATGTACCACTGTCACCTGTATTACAAGGAAGTAATCTTCAGCACCCTGAAGTGTTGTTGTAATATAGAAGAAGTAGATTACCAATTGACTTAAAGAGAAAATAGGAGGGGGGGGGGTATTACAAGAAATTTAATACATAATGCATATTAAATTATACAATGCGCCATTTGTCAAAGAATAGAAAAATTACAAACAAAATATAAAAATAATTTTTTTTTCAAGCACGCTTGATTATTTAAAGGGAGGATGGGTTCAAAGTATCTTTTGAAAAAAA